ACCTTTTTGGGGCGTGAAATTTCAGGAGATAGTTATTACCCTTGCGATAGGAACATCCAAGCGGTCAAGCGCCTTCCGACCCCTTCTACAGTAAAAGAAGTCAAACGTTTTTTGGGAATGGTTAATTTCTTTCGAAAGTTTATACAAAATTTCGCCGCCATAGCAGCACCCCTGTACGAACTAACCAAGGATAAAGCAAAATTCAAATGGGGTCCGCGCCAGCAACAAGCCTTTGACGAACTACGGAATAAACTCATAACCAAGCCATGTTTGGCGTTCCCTCAAGAACGTGATTTTATCCTCCACACGGATGGCAGCCAAGTTGCTATAGGCGCCGCGTTATTCCAGCAAGCAGCCAGCGATGAGAAGTCCCTATTCATAGGCTATTACAGTAAAGCTCTATCCCAGTCCCAACAAAAGTGGAGTCTCACTCATATAGAACTTTTTGCAATGGTAAGCGCTCTTCGTTTCTTCAAGGCCACTATTTACGGGCATCTGACCCGTATTTTCTCTGATCACAACCGCCAATCACCGCCCATTGACGTATCTTCTCAGACATAATAAGACCCATGATAATTTAGCGCGATGGGTAATCGAGTTGCAAAGTTATAACATAACCATAGAATATTTGAAGGGATCATCAAATGTTGTGGCCGATTGCCTTTCACGATCAGTCAACTCTCAGACTCAGTTTCAGGATAACCTCCAGAGTCCGAAGACATAGTAGAGTTTCCTATGTGTCTAGCGGTACAAGGATATTGTTTGCGCTCTCTCCCACCAACTAATTCCTCCCTCGTTACTCCAATTGCGATTAAGCATTACGATGCCTTACTAGAACAAAAGCGCGACCCAGTCTGTAGCCCTATCATGTCTTTCCTGGAAACAGAGCAATTTCCTGAAAATGTCTCGGAAACAGATAAGGCTCAGTGGCTTCGGTTAGCTGAAGATTGCCACCTACGCGCAAATGGTTGTTTGTACCATCTTACCAAGTCCCTGATGGGGTTACTCCGTTTTTGTTCCTGAGCGTCGCCGGAAACTCGGCACGAGCACCTAGTCGCTCCTACTTTAACGAAGCTGAGGCCGAAGTCTGTAGAACCATCGTCACTCGCCTTCTCCAACGTCATGTGTCTCCCGCTGCCATCAGTATTTTGACGTTCTATAAGGAATAGATGCGCCGGTTGGCGGACTTTGCACGAGAGAACCAAGTCGAGCTCGCCACTGTTGATTCCATCCAAGGCCGAGAGAAGGACATCGTTATTCTCCTCACCACCCGAACTGATTTTGAGCCTACTTCTGGCGAGTTCCTAGATGACCAAAAACGCATGAATGTTGCGCTCACCCGTTCCCGCCAAGGTTTGTTCGTGCTGGGCCATACTGATTCACTTCGTCGCATCAACTTCTGGAATCGAGTGTTGGCCTGGGCCGAGGAACGCCACGCCGTAGTACCTGCCGCTCAACTGGGCCAGTATCTACCTCCTGCACAACGGTAAGATTTTCATAACCAGTTCTCTTTATACATACTTTCATTATATATATATATATTTAGTTGTTTTCTTTATATTCATAGACATTATCTCTTTATATTTTATGATATACTACATACCTTAATTTATACACTTCTTTATATACATCCTTATATACTTCTTTTCATATACTTTGCTTTGCATACTTTTTCTTAATTAGAAGTCCAAGGACGGACTTGTTGGTAAATAAGGGAGGTGTAAGGGAGATGCTTTTGCATCTCCGTTTGCATCTTCGATGGAATGCCAGAAGACGTGATTCATATGTTTAGGGCGTGACCGACGATACGAAGGCTCGAGGAGTTGCTCCTTCGCCCCAACACCGACCGGCCGTTCTACCGTACCCCTCCACGACTCTGGCTGATGCTGTCCCGATCCAGTGCTTTATCCAATCTCCATGCTCAACCACTCCACCGATGATCTCCTATTGTCGACTATTCATATACTGTCCTCTGTCTACATTGATGCCTTAACGATAAACTACTTAGTACTGATCGGTGATCTGTTCTTGCCAGCCAGAAGCTCGCCTCCACTGTCGCCGCTACGCTTACTCTTCTCGTCCCAACCTTGGTCGATTACGGTAAAGCCTTTGATAACGTCGAAAACAACGCCATCTTGTCAGAGCTGGTCGATCACGGATGACACAGTTTACATGACGAAAATGGCCTCTTGCTACAAGCATTGTACGGATGATGTAGCTAATTCCCCGACCCTGCCCGTCCCAGTCGGGAAATGGGTTCGGGAAAGCGACACAACTTCGCCTAAGCTGTTCACGCGGCCTTGCAGTGGGTGTTGAAGTCACTGGACTAAGACGAGAGAGAGATACGGATTGATAGAAGATTACTCTCCAACCTTCGTTTTGCGGACGACATCGCATGCCTTTCGAGCAGTACCACTGAAGCGGAGACGATACTGAAGAAACTAAACGAAGTAGGGAAAACGATTGGATTGCGGTGTAGACTAAAGAAGACTCAGTCTACTGAGCTCTTTGCGAAGATGCAGAGAATTGGAAAGCATCCTCATCAAGGAGATTTCTTACCTGTACCTTAAACGTTCGATGAACCTGGGGAACAATTTGAGGGAGGAACTCAACGGGAAAAAAAGTCTGGTACGCCTTTGGACAAGTGAAAAAAGCCATTGACTAGCTGACGGACTTCGGAGCCGTAAACCCACCTGTTTGACTCATTCTGCAAGGCTCCGTTACGCAGCTGAGACATGACCAGGTACTAAAGCCACTTACTGCACGGACAACTCGCAAAGCGCTGGAGCATGTCCCGAACAAGCGACAGCTAGTCATATTTTGTGCAGTATGGATAAAGAATGTCCCTTTTGTGACCGAATGGGAGACGATGAGAAAGCGAAGCAGTACCCCTCATCAGAAGAACACAGGCGACATATGCACGTTAAAAACATCAGATGGGTTCTTCGCATACCTTATAGCCTTTAGATGGCGTAGTCTCAAGCAAAAGGGTTCAGTGACTTAGGGCCGCATGCACTAACATCCCCGCGGGGAGGAGATCGCAGCTTACGATTAGAAGAAAGCTTTATATTTCGAAACTCCAGACACCTGGATTTCACGTTGTGTACCTATCCGTAAGTATTCCTACTACCCTTCACTATGAACATGTTGAAGAGGAGCGAGAAGTTGTACGTACCGCATTTTCCAGCTTTAGTATGATCCCTGATGATCCCCGGCGCTTTTCTTTAGAGTCATTTTTCTTTCTCCGAAGTTAACGAAAAACCTCCAAAGTTGTGCAGATTATCTAAACCGACAGTGCTAAGCATGTTGCTGATAAGAACGAATGATGTTTTGAAGTCATGAAATTTTCGATGATCCACAGGTCGACGAAAATTGAGGTTTACCGAAAAATTCGACTTTTCAAAAACTCATTTGTTCTCATCAGCAACATGCTTAGCACTGTTGTGTTAGATGTTCAGTACAACTTTGGAAGGTTTTCGTTAACTTCGGAGAAAGAAAAATGACTTCAAAGAAAAGCGCCGGGGATCATCAAGGATCATACTAAAGCTGGAAAATGCGGTTCGTACAGCTTCTCGCTCCTGTTCAACATGTTCATAGTGAAGGGTAGTAGGAATACTTACGGATATGTACACAATTTGAAGTCCAGCTATCTGAAGTTTCGAAATATAAAGCTTTCTTTTAAGCTGCGATCCCCTCCCCAGCAGGGAGGTTAGTGCATGCGGCCCTTAGTCTTCTGGTCCCCATTTTTCAGTGCTCGGTCGGACTTTGACACCAAGTTTTTTATACTGTTCATTAAAGAGAAGCCTAAAGTTTTCAATACGGCTTCTGATTTTTATCGATGCCAAGACGTGTTTGATTTGCACATCAAAAAGTAAAATCTTCCCAACCACAAAAATTCCACAATTTTTCCTACAGCCATTTTTTTGTGCAATTCACAGACTTTCGTCCAAATCATGGGTGATCTGATTGAGAAGCCTATTAACTTCTGATCCGCAGCTGCACTCGAGTCTTGCGATTTGCGCTCAGAAATTACAACCTGTCAAACTTGCTTCTGACTACAACTCTTTTCGCAGCTGGCGTCGCTTCTGCGGGAATCGCCACGCCTGGATGATGGGTCCAAAAGATGTGTAAGGCATTACCCCAACAATGTTCGCAGTAATCAAAGATTTGGTCCACCCTATGCAGAACGACAGGACTTCAAAGTCACTTACTCAAAAAATGGTGCATTTTTAGGGGCAAAAAATGGTCTATTTTTCGAACTTTCTGAAAAAAAATTTTTGCAGGTGGTCCTGCAAAAACATGAATGGTTCCCTTAACAGCTCCAGCAGACCTTTATATGACTACAGCATTTGGGCTTTCCAGATCTCATCCTGCCTGAGATAATCCTGCACAATAGGCTACTTGCGAGGACCTTTTTTCCCTTCTGCGCATGCTGGTGGACCGCATTGAGGTGCTGAAAAGCCAGCAAGACAAATATATGTTGTGGACAAAATTCTCTTTGCAATGAAATTTGTAGCTCTGAAAAAGGATCAATCTGCTTGAAGTTACAGCGATTTGAAAAAATTGTGCCCGGAAACTTTCTTTACAACCTAATAATAGAGTATTTTTCGTAGCTTTCACCCCATTGTATGCCGTACTAGTGCTTCGATCTCTTGCCATGTGAGATGATGTGCGCTACATCATGCGAAATCCCACAAAATATAGCCTCTTCGATGCCTTGAAATCATCTCCACGAAACAAGACCTCGGCAGGAATTTTCCCATTTTCCAAAAAGAGGAACGGACCTGGCAACTCCAACGAATCTAGTTCGATACCTTTCGTTGATCTTTGAACTTATTCTTTTTGATGCATTTTTGTGTGTAAATTAGATAAGTAAATGGATCTGTGAGTGACTTGTGGTAGAGTGGAACAGTCCTATGAAATATCTGAGTTTGCATTTGTACAAGAATAAATATTATTATTTATTATTTTCCAAGCTAAGATAAATATTACTACAAATAGTGGATTACATCTATCTACAACAATACTTTTAGGAACGCAGATATCATTGTGACTTCTCCATGGCTGAAGCTTCGCGGAGTGCTCTTTCTCGTTCTTCTGCAAATATACTTTTGTGGAGGAAATTTAAGCGCATCAAAAACGATACTTACTCCTCTTCTCGGCCTTTTTCCGCCTTTTCCTTTCCATCATAAGAAGTTCAGCTCTGGAGTTATGATAAATCTCTCGGAGATCATTCAATCGCTTTTCAAGCATTTCAATAGCGTCTTCGTTCAGTCGTGAGAGATCGCCTAAGATAGTTTCAGTAAGTTGCACCACAAAATTCCGAAGTACAAACTTACCAAGGGGTGGGAGACCTAGGAGATCAAAGTTATCCAAGGAATGTTCTTGCTCCATAATTCGTAAAGTCTTGTTCTTCATCGAAATAAAAGTATCACGCGCAACTGAAGGTTCTGTAAAAAAAACCAAGGAAAATTACTAGCAAGACCAGAAAGAGGACGATTCCAACACTGTACCTTCTTCTTCCTCTTCCTCGCCATATGAATCATCATTTCGGTCTTCTTTACTTGACGTCTTTTGACGCATGTACTTTCTATCAACAACCATGACGCTGTGTCGATTATATGGAGCTCTGGAGATAGTGTAGATAAGCCCAAATTGAGCTCAAGAATTTTCCTACCGTTTCCGCGTCCTCTTCCTGGTGACATGATGCGACCGCCAGCCGATTGGTTGTCTGACGTTGACCATTTGTCATTGTCTAAATTGGTAATTTCTGAGAGAAGAAGTCAAAAAGCAAGAAATCTACCTTCCCCATCAGTCCTCATCGGAGTAACTGAACCACATGGTTCTGCATCTGATTCTTCCTGATGGACAACCTGTTGTGACACCACAACGACTTCTGCAAAACAACACCTATGAAGAAAGAAAGAAAATCACCTTGAAAATAAACTGACCACTCTCCACTTTCATTTCCGTTTGCTCTTTCTTGACTTCAACATGCCGACAAGAGTGAGTCACTTTGTCTACAGTCTTTCTCAGATGCTCGTCAGATGCTGCCAACGTCTCGCTCCCCCTTCTGCCGGCCAGTTTTCCATAAAGAGGGCTTTTAGCGACTAGGTCGAAGTCGCAGAAAGCGCTAACAACAACTCCTACATCGGCAGCATCATCCATAGGTGTCTTCTCCTTCGCTGATGATGCTGTAAAGGTTGCTATTTAACGACCAACAGTTGACTGCTGGAAAGCAACACCAAAACCTCGTGATGGTCTCTTTCTTTCCTTTCTTGGAGGTTCATGGCATGTTAACGCTACACTATCTCTGACGGAAATCTTCAATATCAACAGCGCTGAGTCTAAATTATCAGAGGATCTGCATGTAAAACGCAACTCTTAAACTGCGCAAATCTTTCTTGAATCAGAACATAATTGCTATGAAATAAGAGCGCCAGAGCTAAGGTGAAGAAACTCACACTGCTTGGAATCATGCGCAGAGAATTCGAATTTCCCAGAAACTTCTTCAGGAATTGATGGCTAAACGAACACTCATAGTTGGAAACAAAATAAGCAACTGTTAAAGGGCGTCCACCCAAAATCTGAGGGTGTTCGAAAAATTGCTGACGTGCAACAGCGAGAGAATTAACTAAGTGACTACCTAAATCGCACTGCGAAAGTTGTAATTTGAAGCGGAGTAACCGTTCAAGAAGGACGATGCTGCTGGGGTCGCCACGCCCCTCGACATGCATTGCCTAGAAGTAATGAGCCCGAAACACTCAGTGATACCAAACAAAAAAAACACATTTTCAACGTTTTTAGGTAATCTGGAGTGCAGTTTCGTTAAAACACCCATGTTAGTAGGCGTGGCGACCCCAGCAGCATACACCTTTCGAAAAGGTTTTCCCGCTTGGAGATACACCTTTTGCAGCGCAACTCGGGCAATTAACTTAGGGACCTCGCTGCAATACTGCAGCGTAATTTCACCAACAACTTGGGTGTACGGTGTCATCAAGTGACATGACAAAAATAATCAAAATTGATTTTTGATCCCCAAAATTGGCGTGCTTATCTTCGGAGAAACAATCTTCTGTGACGGTGTCACTATGACTTTTTCATGTGGATGCTGAGCAGCTATATAAATAGTCGTAGGTAAACCAGGTGATGAGCTGGGCACAGCTGCAGCGATCACTCCTTCTTCGACGCCAGGTGTGACAGATACCGTCCGAGCGCGTTTCACTTGTATAACCGATGGAGGCGAACCAACACGCGGTGTACCATGGTGCGTCGCATCATGTCCTCGGGGAGGAGATCGTAAAGGTGGAGATATACCGATATTCGATGGTGAGATCATTGAATGCTGAAATTGGGGCACCTTTGTTTGAAAAAAACCGTGCTAAAATTCCCACCTCAATTCTCGACGGTCCTGCCAACGGTGTTTTAGCTCGCTGTGTTGACACTTTCAACGGCATGCCGGCCGACTTGGAGGACTGAAAAGGAAACAGTGAGATGATATGGTGAATGAAATGAGGTGATACCTCTCTCTTCAGTCCTTCCGCAGCAGCTGCTGTCAGTTGCTCGTATTGGGAGATGGAGACACGTCTAGGGCGATATCCACCCTAGAAAGTCCATATGAATCATCTGATCATCCTCATCCTTTTTCGGCTTCCATGTTTTCATCAAATTATACAATTTTTAAGACCTTTACAGCGTATTGAGACATTATCAAAAATTCATGCAATTTCAATAATAAGAAACTGAGCTTTTGTGAAAAGTAACTTTCCGCTCAGCTAATGCCCTTCATTCCTCTTAATGTTCCAGTGCTCAAAAAACAACTCACCATGCTAAATAGATGAGTTGGCACTTCATCGTCGTCTCTTGTCAGGCTTTCAACGCCATCGGTAGAATTCGACCAACGTAAAAGGAAGTCCAACCGTGATCTCGGTATGCGATCACCCATTTCACGTGTGATTGCATCCATCGACGTTTGGTCATCCTAGAGTCAAATTACAAACATATAAAGGGCAAAGCAGGAACGAGGAAAGGGAGAAGAGAAGAAAAAAATGGTAACCTTTTCACTAAGGCGAATCTTATTAAGCGTTATCGATTCGTCATAGCGAGAGTTCCAACCGAGGTAGTGAACAAAACACCTTGTGGTTGAAAGTACGACACGAAGTCGAGCAATTGCTTGTGAGGAAAGACCAATGCCCTGAAAATTTGTGAAAATCGATAACACTCAAATAACGTAAATAAATAACACTAACGTGGTATTCGGAAAGAACGCACCTCCTGATCGGCCATTTCCGTAATTTCAGCCATTTCTTTGACAGATGGTTGGTCTACAGTGACTACGCGAGCGTCATACCAACGTCCATGATGATGAGCACGCACTTTTTGGCCAAGATAGAAACGCGAGACGCTGAAATAAGCTTATTGCATGGGAAGTGGAATATCTATATAGAAAACTTACATATTAGCCGGGCGATAGCCCTCATCAGGATCTCTTGACTTTGCTGGATCAGAAGCATCTTTCTTATCTGCTTTTGCCAATTTTTTTCTTTCCTTTCGTTTCTTACCTGAAAACACACCTGATTATCTACCTATATCTTTCAAGGAGAAAACTTACCATCTCCATCTTCATCGCTAATATCATGATCTCTCTTTTCGGTATGAACCCCATCTTTGTCGACAGCTGCAGCATTTTTTTCTCGTTCACTGTCACGTCGTTCTGATCTTTCTGCTCTTGCATCCGCTTCCTGTTCAGCTTTCGATGGTGATGATTTGTGTTTGTGCTCGACTTCGGTTTTCTCTTCTTCTTTGATCTTCTCGATAAGTTTCTCGCCACGCTTTTCCTCCATTTCCTTCACTTCTTCTTCTTTTTTGATCTTGGACTTTGTCTCCTTGTCTTTTGCCTTCTCTTCCTTCTCCCTTTCCTTAGCTTTCTCCTTCTTTTCTTTCTTGAAGAAATGTTGCTGTGATACCTACAAAATAATTCAACAGACACAAAAATACTTACCTTTTCCTTCACATCCTCATCCTTTTGCTTACGCTCAGCTTTCTTCTCGTCTTCTTCTTTTTCCAGCTTCTTTGGCTTCTCCGAGCTTGTGGAAGTAGATGGAGAGCAGCTAAAGCAGATTTTATTATTAGAAACAAAGATACCTAGGAAACCTAGGAGACCCACGTTGATCTTTCTCGTTGACTGCTCCCATCAGGATCACGAGAAGTCTCCTTTGACTCTCTTCCATCGGCTTTTCCTCTTTTTGTCGTCTTCTCCTTAGCTTCGGCTGCACTTGACTTTCGCCGTTTTACTGGCTATAAGAGTTATGTTTATTGTGCTGAGGATGATGTAGGAACAAAGCATTTCTTACTTTCTGCTGATTCATTAGTTCGGCGTTTCGAATAAGCCGACGTTCTCTAGGACTATTGATCGTCGATGTGATGGACAACTCATCCAAAGACCAGCCCAGCCTTTTGTAGAAGGAATTGAAGTGGGCTAAGTATCTGCAAAAACAACTTAGCCAGTCACGGGAAGCTGCTACTAAAATTAATCAAAACTAATGGATGCTAGAATGGAAGAAGAATATACAAGTAGCTCGCATATATTTTGTGCAATGGAGTTCTGGCAGTAAGAGAGTGCAAAGAAGGAAAAGATTACCTTATGTAAGCCTTCCTCACAGTAACAGGAGTAGCTCCAGGACAACCAGACAGATGAAGTTTGATGAGCACCTAGAACGAAAAACTTGTAAAAATAAACTAATTGCGATAAAATTAGAACCCATAGGTTTCTACAAACCTTTTTCCATAGCTGATTGGTTGTAACTCGTTTACAACCACCATAGTCTTGAACAACGCGATAAAAGCGATAAAGATCTATATCTTTTCCACCAAGAATCGGCGCACGGTTAATGGGTGTTCCTATAATGATTCATTACAAAGAGAAAATTCAAACTATAACTTCATAAGAAATGAACTAAAAATTTATAAAAGTGCTTTACCTCTTTCCTCTTGGAATTTGTACAGCTGAGCCACAAACAGGTCTCTCTCTTCCCCATATTCCTCTTCACCACTGCTCTCTGAGGTCTCCGAGCTACTTTCCACTCTATAAATGAAACATCTATGCAGATTTTAGAACAAAGAGGCAAACGAAAAATACAAACCAAAGAAAATAGAGTCAAGAAAACTTACTTTTTCTCCGCTTTCTTCTTCTTGGCATCGTCCTCCTTTTTCGAAGTTTCGGCCTTATCGTCCTTCTTGGCCGTTTTGATGCTTGTATCAGCTTTGACAGGTTCCTTTTTCCTCGGAATACTTGTATCGGCGTAAATCTCCTTTGCAATCCAATTATTTGGGAGCGTGCCTGCAAAAGTGCACGCACTTTGCGTCAAACCGGATTGGAGCACACGAACATTATCGAACTCTTCGCTTAGACTCTTTCGAGGGAATAAGAGGAAGTTTCAAATCTACTAACTAGGGCTTGACAATGCGTCATTGAAAGGAGCAAATTCTAAAGGAAGGGAATAAGACGGAAGTAGGGCGTAATCAATAAATCGATATGCAAAAACTGTGTACAACACATGATCGTGCCTATGTACGCTTTCTTGAATTTATGCAGAAAATGGAAGAAAGGAGCTGAGCAAGGACATTAGCTCACCTTTACTATTGAACGCGTTCGCTCTGTCGACAGCCGTGCGCTGCGGATTACTCATCGCATCGAGGGCTTTTTTACTTATAGGCTGGTCGTCCAATAGAACTAGGTTCGCGAGTGATGCGGCGAAACTAGAACACAAGGACAAGATTAATTCCTCTACTCCTCACTAATAGTATACAAATCGGGAGTACAGTAACTCACTACTTTCCATTTTGGAAACTGCGTACGGGAATTTCGTTTTTTCCCAGATTTTTCCCCTTTGTAGTTAAATCTCTGCAAGAGATGGTGATTAGATAATACCAAGAAAACAAGACTCAAAATAAAGATCGCAGTGAAAAGTCGATCAGATACCTGTAAACTTTCAATGCGACAACAACAGCTGGATACCATTTTCCTCGATGCTGTGCATCATCGTAAACACAAACGACACTACCGGCTCTTAGCTGAACAAAGAAATGGAAAGAATAAAAATGTTGCAAGATGACTGTCTAACCTTCACTCGTAATTCTTCTAGCAGTTCAGCTTCGCTTTTTTGATTCTGCTGAGCTTTGCGAGGCTCTTCCTTCTTCTCCTGCTCTTTTTCCTTCTTCTTTTTCTCCTCTTTGTCGGGTTCCACCTCTGCATCACTGGACTCTTCACTACTGCTGCTCATGTCTCCATCCCCACTTTCTTCTGTATCTCCCTGAAACACAAATTTTATTTCGAGTTTTACAAACTGTGTTAAATGGACAGGTCGCACTCAAGCATTACTTTAGCGCTTTCAACGGTCCATTTTGTGATTCAGTCTATAACTATTGACAGTGTACAATAACAAGCGGTACATTACCACTTAAAGAATTTGATTCTACGAAAAGGCTCAGAACTGGCAGAGAAGGTCGTAATGTTTTCGAGATGCTACGCACTGAGCAAGAATACGTAAAATTCGATTGAAAAGATCGTATAAGATGACAGCTTTCAAAATAGACGGAGACATAGGTTATAATGAACGGTATTCCAAATAGAAGCACTTGAAAACAGGAACATAAGAGTTTGTTATGCTTTACACATGTATCAAGTAGGAGATTGACATAATTCCACAGCACAGTTCACACAGATTGCAACAAAGTACCAGGTTTTTCCAAGAACAACATTTACATGAAAAGATGAGTCTCAACGATTTAGACTATCTACTAGACTACTCTAAAAGCGTTGAAAAAAGTCCACTAAAAGTTGCATGGCAAGTGAAATGCATATAATGAAAAGCATCTCTGCACTCTTAAGGCCAAGCACTTATGAAGAAAAGCAACGGACATGTTGATTATCTCTAATACATAACAACAAAACTCTGGAGAGGACTGAGGTATATACTTTTGGCCTAGTCTTAGGGCCGCATGCACTAACATCTTTGCCGGGGAGGGGATCGTTGCATAAAAGAAAGCTTCAAATCCTGAAATTCCAAATATCTGGAATTCACGTTGTCTACCTATCTGTAAGTATTCCTGCCTCCTTCACTGTGAACATCTTGAACGGGAGCAAGAGGCTGTACAAGCCGCATTTTCCAGCTTTCTTTTTGTATGACCCTTCTGGTGATCCTCGGGGACGACCGTCTTTTCTTTGAAGTCATTTTTCTTTCTTCAAAGTTAATGAAAACATTCCAAAGTTGTGCTCTTTGTCTAACCCAACAGTGCTAATCATGATTCTGGTAAGATCAAGTGATGTTTCGACGTCATGAAATTCGCGGTGAACCAGCACAAGGCGAAAGTTGGTGTTTACCGAAAAAATAGATATTTCAAAAAATCATTTATTTTCATCAGTAACACGCTTAGCATTGTTGGGTTAAATGACCAGCAAACTTTGGAAGGTTTCGTTAACTTCGAAGGGAAAGAAATGACTGACAAGAAAAGATGGCCGGCCGCAGAGATCATCAGGATATGATTTTAAAAAAGCTGGAAAATGCGGTTTGTACAGTTTCTTGTTCCCGCTCGATATCTTCAGAGTGAAGGATGGTGAGAATACTTAAAGATAGGTAGGCAGTGTGAAATCCACATTCTGGAGCTTTTCAGGATAAGAAGCGTTATTTTGCTGCGACCCCTCTCCGACGAAAATGTTAATGCATGCGGCTTTTGAGTTAAATTTAAAATGAAAAACTGACAGCTTTCCTTTATACCACATGGAATGAAAAACGTGAGAAAAATGGTGAAGCAAGTATGGTAGATAGAAACAAAGAAAAAAGATAATTGTAAAAAGATGTAAAAATGAAAGTTATCTAACCTGATCCATTTCTCCAATGGCTACGCTGGCGGCTGAAGCGGCAGCACGTTTCTTACGCTTTTTCACCTCATCGTCTTCGCTTTCCTCTTCCCGACGACGTTTGATTCTAGAAAATATTGCAGAAATCGAAGTTATACAAAAAGTCTGAGCTTCACATACTTTTTGATTTTCTTCGTTTTTGCCTGAGGTTTCGGTGGTACACAGAACTGTTCAGGATTGTACAATGGCATTTGATCCAAATTTGATTCGCTATCAAAGTGTCTGCCTCCTTTCAGGCACATCTGAGTACGCCGTAATACTTTTTCGTCGCCATCGTTGAACACTAAAAAATCAAAATCATGGGAAGGAAAGGAAGATCTTCATGACGACCAAATACAATAATCAATACTGACCGACGTGATATGTACTGCAGTATTTTATGTGTTGTATAACACCTTTGACAAGATGTTTGCCTTGTACAACATCTACAGTTTGGTTCACTTCGAGTGTGCCTCTAATCAAATGTTCTTCCACGACAATAGTGCCAAATGGAGATTCTTTCAATGCAACCTACAACAAAACATTCATGCAAAAAATCAAAAGCAAATTCAAAAAACAAAAATTTACAAATAAAAATCAACCACACTTGCCTTGCATTTCACAGACTTGCATAGTTTCTTGATTTTAGCTTCGCAGAATGCTCCTTCGAATTTTGCACTGACTTCGGTCCCTGGCGACAGAAAGGCAGGATCATCCGACTGAAAATTGGTTGGTTTCAAAGCAATATTTATAGATTACCCCCTTTTGCTAAGAAGTTAACAGATCAGACAGCATCATAACTCAAGCATTTGTCAAAAAGCGTTGAAAGGCGACAATTTCATATCAAACGCTTTGCACTTGGATAACGTACAGAATGATAACGTATCATTCATCATGAGATCAAAAGAATCACTACCGCTTTGCACAAATTGCCTAAACAACCATAAACATGTGGACAACAATTCTATACGTACTATCTATCTCATCTAGTATGACTCAATTTCTAAGAGCAGGTAAAAACAGGCACAGGCATTCTTGAAAAATAAGCGCAAAGCGGTTCCGAGTCTGTTAGTCATAGAATGGACAACACTTGTAAATATACACAGAAAGGTGCTTAGGATATCAAAATGGAGCTCACCTGCATGAACACTTCCTCTCAACCTCTATCAAAGCTGACCATAGAGCAACGATAGTTCGTACTTCAGTTCAGAATTGGAAAACCTGAAAACTTTTGAAGTGGGCTCAAGCAGCATCCAAATTACAAGTTTCATCTGCTTGAAAGTACATCGAAAATAAGGCAAAAAGAAAGAAGCATACCGAGTTTTTCAAACAGCAGAAAATAGCTCCACTATGAAAAGCAAAACAAATCGCTTTGGAAAACAATAGTACGACTGGCGCATGATAGCGCACTTGGAGCGCGACAGGCTTCGGCAAGCATGTGGGGATGCGAATTTGGCTGGTCTTTTACTAAGCAATATGTATCATTTTCTGCTAAAAGAATGTATAGAAATTGTTTTCAAAAATTTAAGAAACACTGCGAAGCTTTGATTAAAAGGACTGCAATGATAAAGTCACATTTTTATTCGCTACTTTATCAAGAATTTGAGCCCAAATTTCAGAATCGTTTGGAAGTATTGCGCGTATCCGAATTTGTATTGAAAAACCGAAGTTTTCATTGAGTTTTCTGGATTAGAAGATTGAGAAAGAGACAGAGAAGAATGGAAAGGAATCTGTTCGCATCGCATGAAACATCAAATTTTGTCAATATTTTTCGTCCTGCCAACGGAAGAACATCGTTTTTATATCAGAGATGGAATAAAATCTGGATTTCTTGTATAGGTTTGAAATGCGATTCAAAAAAGGAAGGGGAGCAACAAGCGCTGGAAATGCTGACATTTGAGCATTTGAAGACTCTGCATTGTTGTTTGACAGTCTTAAAAAAGTCCTTATATTATATCTAACTTTTTGCTGTTTTTGGATAGATTATTCTTGATAGGATGACGTATGACTTTGTCAACACTAAGCTACAGAAGTTTTCTTATAGTTCTGCAGTCCCAGAAATTTCAGCCTAGTCATGTCGACAATGATAGTCTTTCTCAAAACTTGGAACTATGAAACTATTGGCGTTGCTTCAGAAGTGCTTCCCGTTTGTGAAGTTCAACTTCGAATTATTATAACTCTTTGAAAAATAATCTCTGCGAGCGGCGCAATGATTTTTTCTACAATCTACAGTTCTTGGCGGTATACTACGTAATTCAAACTCCTTTTACCTACAGCGGAAAAATTCGAGCCTAAGATCCCAATTCCCTTTCGATAGCCCTATTTTGATAAAACATAACTCAGTCTAAAGTATTGTAAGACGAACTTTGCTCATTATCCCATCAATAATCGTCTGAACAGTAGCTGAATTCAGATTTGACTCAATTTTCACACAGAAAAAATTTTTGGGAAAAATTTCAAAGCAGCCCACTATCTTGTTTTCTTTAAGATGGAAGGATAATGAAATTCTCGATTCGCAAGCAACAGTCATATGAATTAACTGTGGGTTTGTTTATCTTATATATAAAGCTGAATGTCTGTCTGTATGTCTGTCTGTATGTATGTCTGTCTGTACGTATGTGCGGAATAGAAATTTTTATTTCTGAACCGATCGGGACCAAACTTGGCACACATATACTTCGGGGCAGGGAGCGTGTCATAGGCTACTTTTCGTTATCGATCGATATCGATTTTATTGATTTTTTGCAAAATTCGAGCTAGAGGGCTGGGATTTGGCAGAGGGGGGTAATCGAGCATGCTGATCACCCCGAAGGGGGTGATCAGCATGCTCGATTACCCCCCTGTGCAAAATCCTAGCCCCCTAGCTCAAATTTTGCAAAAAATCGGTAAAATCGACATCGATCGATAACGAAAAGTGGACTGTGACAAGCTCCGTGCCCCGAAGTGTATGTGTGCAAAGTTCGGTCCCAATTCTATTCGGAACATACGTACACGGGTCTAGCTGGCAGGCCCGGCGGAGCCGGGCAAGCCAGCTAGTATATAATGATAAAAAGAAGGTAACAACGTATTTCCTCTACAGCAGCCTCTTATGGACATCAACTTACCGAGAAAAATTCGAATTGTTTTCATTGATGCTTAAATGATATTCAGTGTTCCGAATGCTTGTTTGATGAAGGAGCCGTAATTGTCGTAATCTCAATAAATATCACAAAAATTGCTTACAATGTCTTAAAAAAAACTGCTAATGCAGCTCCCATGAATGTTATAGAATTGAGCATTACAAGCTTAGTTACATCACATTTGTCTTCGAATCGTCAGTTTTCAGATACATTTCCATCGACT